GCACATTCAAAGTGCCTGGCTTCATTTTGCTCAGTTCCCTCCGGTCGATCCACACTGTCTATAGAGCTAATGAATCATGTGAGAATTGCTTTTGTTTGTCAAGTACTTTTTGCACACACTCACACACACGCACACACTGCACGCGTGTCGTTCCACGGATGATGAACCAACCATGCAGGGAATGCATGTTTTCTTGTGTTCCGTGTGAGAGACGAATGGGTCACCGTATAGCTAGCTATATATTGCATAATGTGCAATATTTTCGGTCTAGTTCGATTATAAGAAAACGTATATTTTTGTAACACCGGTTCAGCATGTGAATAATACTATTAACTCATAATTATTCCGGAATCTTCAAAACAAATTGGGCGCTGTAGCTATGGAAACCGTAGAACCATTAATCGTAAGGAATACATCAGAACACATAATATTTGGATTACAATGCCTCAACTTCCATGTAGGGCTGATATCGAGTCAAGTCACTCGATTTTCAAAATCCCAAGCTCTTGGTTATAAATTGCAGAGGCTGCTCAAAGAGATGATTTTCAGACAAACAAGCTTTGGAAAATTATTTGGATGACTGTGTGAAGTGTTGATGCGATCAGCCTCAGCCAACTAGAGGTCAGGGCTGATTTCCAGTGTTTTATTAAGAAACAGTATATATATATATATATATCAAGCGTATCCGGTGATCTTTTATCATTTTACTCCGATACTTGTACCCAGGAAGTGCATTTTCTTCACAATAACCTCACTTGAATCAAAGTATTGATCCATCAATGGATTGGTTCTGAAAGAGCTGTCCAAACAAATTTACCCGGTGTTATAAATACTGTTTTTGTGATATATATATATATATCATAACAAGTAGTATGTGAATGACTGAACAAAATTTCCCTGGAAGCACACGACCAGTTTCGCGGTTCTTGCCGCTCATGCGTATCCGGTAATCTTTTGTCCGTTCATTCTTATACTCGTACCCAGGAAGTGTATTTTCGTCACAATAACCTTGTTTACAACACCGGGTAACCATTGGATAGACAGCTCTTTCACAGTTAGTAGCATCTAACCCACTTACAAAACATCTAATCATAGCATTGATTCTTCATTGGACTGGCTCTGAAAGAGCTGTCTATCCAATGGTTACCCGGTGTTGGAAACAA